TGCAGTTCATTATGGAGAAGCAGCTGTCTCAGAGCAGCATTGAAAGAAGTACTTGAAGTGAGATCACGCACAGATGAAGGAATAGAATTCCAGAGGTACGTTGCGGAGATGAAAAAGGAGCATTGCAGAGCCGACGTACAGTAGCGAGGGACACATAGGGGTGCCACATGACCATGCAACGGTCGAGCACTTTGATTGGCCACAAAACGATTTAGGAGATAAAGAGGCACTCTAGTGGAGAGCACTCTGTATGTCAAACTCCCAAGGAAGTATTTCCTGCGAGCCTCACACGTCAGCCAACCAAGTCCCTCGCGATACGGGGTCATGCGCTCGTCACGCCTAGCTCCAAAGACAAACCTAATCCCACAATTGATGAGACGCTCAATCTTGACTGCAAGCTCCGCAGACAGACCATCATACATAAGGCAGCAGTAGTCAATCGACGGAAAAATAAGGGCTTGTAGAAGGTGCACACGCAGCCGCAGCGTCGTACTAGGACGGAAGAACCGAAGTCTATACAATACGGAGTGAACCCTCTGCGAGATACCTAAAACATGTGGTCTCCATAACATTTTGCTATCAAATGTCACACCAAGGCTGCGTACAGATGTCTCAAAGGGAACCCTAGAGTCACCAATGGTCACTGAAGAGATATCCCTAGAGTACAACCTATTCACAAAAGGTTGAGAGCCAAAAACAATGGCCTTGGTCTTAGCAACATTGAGTTGGAGTTTATTTGCTGCCGCCCAATTAGCCACACGGCTAGCAACATCACTCATCCTAGACGTAGCCTCATCGTGATCAGAGGGGGTATAACTAAAGTACACTTGAAGGTCATCAGCATAGATGAGATGCCTCACGTTCGCAGGAATCGCTCCGCATACATCATTGATATAAATGAGGAATAGCAAGGGCCCAAGGACTGATCCTTGAGGTACACCCTTGTTGAGAGGACGAAAAGATGACATTCCTCTAGATTCATCAAGCGTAGCCTGAGAGCGACCCGACAAATAAGAAGCAACCCATCTAATTGCACTGATAGAAAACCCATACTTATGGAGCTTTTGCAGCAGCAGCACATGGCAGACTGAATCAAACGCCTTACTAAAATCGAACAACAACAGCATCGTGAGCTCACGACGAGCTATGCCAATGCGAATGTCATCATTCAACCTCAGCAAGGCAGTCTGAGTGCTGTGCCCAGTACGGAAACCAGCCTGGAAGGAATCAAGTATGGAGTGACGAGAAAGGTAGCTATCTATTTGAAGTGCAGCTAGCCTCTCCAGAACTTTCGCCAAGAAGCACAACAGCGCGATCGGCCTATAGTCATTCACCGGAGTAGGATACTTCACCTTCTCCAGCGCAACCACTAATGATTTTTTCCATTCACAAGGAAAGCTCGAAACAGAGAATGAGCAGTTGAAGATCTTCAGCAGGAAAGGAGTAAGGAGGGGAAGAGCAACCTTAACCACTGATGCAGGGATGCCATCAGTGCCTCGAGCTCCAGTGGAGAAATGCCTGATCGCACACACAACCTCAGCCACTGTCACAGGGACAAAGGCAAAGCCATTCGCAGCATCAGAGCCCGCAGCCAGCGCACTAAGACACTCATCCACCAGCGGTTCATCAGCACCGAAAGACACTCGCAAAGTGGACATTGAGAGCCTCCCCATCATGCCTAACTGTACCCGACTCAGTCGACAGTATTCCCAGTGAGCGCAGCTCCCTCCATATACGGATAGGATCAGAGATAGCCGATAGTCTGTTTTGATAATACCGCTGAGGAGCACTATTCACCTCAATCGAGAAATATCCGATAATTTTGGAAGTCTCGTGGTATTACTACAGATTATTCTTCTCACTCGAATTTCAGCCAATCAGAGCGCAGTATTTGAGGCTGTCAAAGAGTTTTATTTCGGAAATTTCTAAAAAAATTCCGACAGAAATTCACTAGTAGCTCTTCAAATGTTTCTTATCTTTCAACGCATTTCACGGTTAATATTCTGTCTGACAGATAAACGAAAAAGTGAGTTATAAATGTATGACTGTGTAAATGTATCCGGGTGTTGTTCACTGCCCTCTGCTTGGCCGAAATCCGAGTGGGCAAATAACCCGTCAAATACCACTCGTGCTCGAAAATTAATCGAATATTTTTTGATAGCTTCGTTGCCTAGGAACGGAGCTATCGGAAAATATCCGATTATTTCGAAGCACTAGTGGTATTACTACTGAAAACAGGATTTTTGATTCTCAATTAGTTCTGAATGGTTGCAAAAAAATTGAAAGTTGTATTCTTGATTTTCAATTAACTCTCAATTCACTGAGAGTAGATTGGAAGACAATTGAGAATCAAGAATCCAACTCTCAACTCTCAAAAAAGTGAAGGGTACATTCAGAGATACCTGAGAATCAAAATTCAAAAATCAAATTTTCAATCCCGATAATAAAGTTGATAGTAAAAGAGGGCGACAGGCATAAAATGCATTTTACGCCTCGTCACTCCAACTTTCAACTAACCCTGAATTTTCTCTCAAAAACCAGAAATTATCCAGAGTCCAACTCTCAATTTGATCCGGAAGAGCCAAGTTTCCGAAAGCGTTCCAGAAAATTCTCCGGTTTTCGAGAAAATCCGTCGATTTTCAAAAAAAAATCGAAAAAATTCTCCAATTTTCTAAAAATTTCGAATTAATGTGTCAGTTTTGTAAAAAAAATTGAGAAAATTATTGGGTTTTTGGGAACGTTCTAGGACATTCTCCGATTTTCTAAAAAATTCAAGAAAAATCAAGGTAAANCGTTCTAGGAAATTTTCCGATTTTCTAAAAAATTCAAGAAAAGTCCAGGTAGTTCTCGGATTTTCTACTAAATTGCATGAGTTTCGCCAATTTTCTCATAAGTTCGGAAGAATTCTACGGTTATCTAACAAATTGGGTGAAATTCATCGATTTTCTAATAAATTCGGGGGATCCTCCGGTTTTCTAGAGAATTCGACAAAATTCTCCGTTTTTCGAGAAAATTCTCCAGTTTATTAAAGAATTTGCGAAAATTCCGCGTTTTTATAAAAAATAGGAGAAAATTATCCAGCTTTCTGAAAACTGAAAAAATTCTTCGGATTGCGTATGAAAAAAGAATTTTTGATTTTCAATTAACTCTCAATCTACTTTCAACTTTTTTAAGAACTGAGAATTTGATTTTTTTGTTTTTGAAAATAGCATTGTTGATTCTTAATGATTCTGAATTAGAGATATAAAATGACAGTGATTTTTGAGATCGCGTCATGTGACCATACAATGACCGGCATATGACGCACGAATTTCGTAACTACACACAATAATTTGTAAGCAAATTGTTGTCAGACCATCTATATGGATACATAATGACCGTCAAACTCATTTCTAATTTGTGACTGTCATAAATAACATAGCTTCATCTCTAGATAGATGGAAAATCACCGTAATTTTTATTTCAAAATGCACATTAGGCTAATGCAAAATGAATTCAAAGAAAAATTGATAATAAAACGATGAGCTCGCATCTGTATAGATAAAAAATTACTGTCATTTTTTCTTGGCCAATTGTGACGGTCAAAGAAGGAGGGGGGGAATTGTGACAGTTGTGGAAAACGTCTCGTCATGTGAACGTCAATGACGGGTCATGTAATGCATTGGCAGCTCTATCTGAATCTTAGTTTAAAAATAAACGAATTCTCAACTCTGTGGAAAAGTTGAGTGTAAATTGAAAGGCAATTGATGATCAAAAATTCAATTTTCATAATGCAAATCTGAAAATAAATTGAGAGATAATTGAGAATCAAAAATACCATTGTCAAAAAAAAATCCAGTTCTCAACTCTCAGAAAAACTTGAGATTAGATTGCGAGATTATTCAGAATCAATAATCCAATTTTCAACTCTAAAAAATGTTGGGAGTAAATCGAGAGATAATGGAGAATCAAAAATTCAACTCTAAACTTTTTTTACGAATTGAGAGTTAGATTTTTTTCTTTTTGAAAATCGGATTTTTGATTAGAGAATCGGCAAATTTTCTCAAAAATTTTCTATATTGGAGCTTTTTCCAAAATTTAGCGCAAATTCGGTGATTTTCATTAATTAAAAAGTACTCACAAGTTTTGTGGCCGTTTCTAAGAAAATTCTATTGGAAAAGGTCTGTGGAAATTAACTATAGTGAAAAATAAAATATTATGTTATACTGAAAGAAATAATTATTATTTCAGTAATTGATTTTTTAGTATTATTATATGGGCTACAGGCAAAATCTACAGACCTTGTACGAGAGAACTTTCTTAGAAAACACGAGAAAAGTTCTGATGACTTATTTTTAATTCGCGTCAATACAAACAGTTGTACAAAAACATTACAAACTATTGTTTCTCATGCAACAAATGCATTACAAATATCTGGAATTTAAAAAAAAAATCAACCAAAAAATGATCAAAGTATCATTGTTATTACTATCGTCATCATTATTATTTACATTTTCATCGTGATTATTATTACTTTTATAGATTTTTTATATTAGTATTATTACCAAAATATCGGTATATTCTTGCGTGGAATAAAAAAAAAATCTCCCACCCGTGGGCCCCGATAATCATACGCTCCTGAACCCTGTCGCCTGACAACTCTCATTGCTGTGAGAGGTTTTCTAAGGTATGATACAAACACCCCCAGGTAACAACATAAATGTTGATGAAGGATTAATCATCTTATTTGTACCTGTGCGGGAAATAGAAATACATATCTCCATTGTGATACGGGACATTGGCATAAGGGAAATCATTAGCCCCGAAGATTCTGACACCTCGAAAGAGGTTATGTTTGATGAAAGATTGTTAAAAGGGACATTCCTACAATAATCTTCGATCAGAAGCACTGACAATCACTGCAAACCCTGTGAGAAGGCTGTGTGTAACTGAGTGAGGTAAGCTTGCAAATGATGCTTGAGTAACTGAGTGAGGTAAGCTTGCAAATGATGCTTGCAAGCTTACCTCACTCAGTTACACACGGCCTTTTCACAGGGTTTGCAGTGATTGTCAATGCTTTTGATCGAAGATTATTGCAGGAATGTTCCTTTTAACCATCTTTCATCAAACATAACCTCTTTTGAGCTGTCAGAATCTTCGGGGCTAATGATTTCCCTTATGAGAATGTCCCGTATCCCAATGCAGATATGTATTTCTATTTCCCGCACAGGTACAAATAAGATGATTAATCCTTCATCAACAATTATGTTGTTCAATTTAATGTTTTTTTTAATGAAAAAATGAACTAATATTATATAAGTGTAAACACACATACAAACAGAGAGAATAAAACGCCAAAGTCGATAATACAGGAACCATCAATGCTTTGCTGGGGGTGGGGTTAGATCATAATTGTTCACCTCAACCTAACTAATTAACAATGATTGTACAAACAATAATAACATGAAATTCGTAATGTACAAACGATTTCCTACGGAATTGACCCATAATTTAGCACAATTAAGCAATGTACAGTTTTTTCCGGCTAGCATCATGCCAAAACTTGATTAATTTTTTTTAATTAATGAGTGAATGTACAAACAAAAATTTGCATTTACATAAGGTCGTTTTTCTAATTAGCGAGCTATTCCGGCTAAGTACCTCGGGGTCGTGCCAACGCGACGGAGACGGAAATGAGTGGGAGCGAGCGCGATACATATTCCTTTCTCACCCAGGGGCGTGGGGGGAATAAATATATATAATCGAACATTACTATAGTAAGAAAAAACAAAATCTGCACAATTATTCAATAGAATCACTGGAAAACTATATAGTTTTCCAGCGACAGCGCTGTGATTTTCTACGAATTTTTTGACCTACGTGTCAATAATAAATATGTCGAGAAAAAGGAAACGACTTTTAGATCATTAGATTCTGATTCATTATACTATTGATTATAATATGTTCGATTTTACATTCCTGACAATTATTACAAAATGCGAGGAGCTACCGTATTGAGAACCCCTTTCCGGTTATCGACAAATTTATGCTCGGGCCCTACCATACCAACAGTTCCGTACGTTCCATCGTAGTCCATGCGCCACCGCTACGAATTTTGCTGTTGAACACTTTACATTGGCCCTGCTCATCTCCCCTATAATCTCTGCTGTGATGTCCTGAGATTTAAATTTATAGATGGCACTATTAATCGGCTATTCTAGTCCGCGAGATTTGAATTATTATTGAAAGTATTTTAAATAAATCTTAAATTCTAAATAAACCGAAAATAAAGAATAAAGAAAGTCTGGAATGCAATGAACAAAGAGAACGAAAAAACAACTTCGCGAGCGTGAGAAAACCCGTTACAGAAATAGGAAATGTCAAGCACTTGGGTTTTTGTTCTTATAATTTACAACTCTCCAAAATTCACGTCGCGTAAACACTTTCCTCGAAAATCCGAAATTTAGAGAGGAAAATAACTTCAACGGTCATGGTCCTATGTTATAGAATTTGCCACCGTATACTTGGCGAACAAATTCCATATTTAAAAAAAATAATGATTAGAATCATTAAGAAATAATTTAGAAAAATTTAGAAAAGTAAAATTTAAAAGTGTTTCATAATTTATAAACAAATAGTTATTTATTAATTATTGAAAAACTGTTGAACCGTATACTTACCAAACATTGATCAAAATTTTAAAAAAATACTTTAATCGATGTGAAACTATTTGGAAATAATAGTGGAAATGTTTTTCCCATTTGAAAAACTAATATTGTATTGATAATCAATGAAAAAAGAATGCCCGCAATATTGTTCTAGAGTCACGTGACCGAGTCTTCCCCTTCTATTCTTTTACCATTGTCATTGGTTATGTCCATCACGTGGACCTGGATATCACCCTTATCAGAAGGAAGTCTCCAAGTTCTTCGATAAGGAGCAGATAGAGCGCCTGAAGTTTACGAGTGCAGCCTCCAAGTTCCACCTGATCACTGAAGAGTACCTGCACAAGCTCTACACCATCAAACTGATTGAAATGCGAAAGCCGCTGCATATATTCACGATCATCCTGGACACAACCTGCCTGTAGACCTCCGAGAGCCTCTACTCGAGCATCTGCGGAGAGCCCCGATGCCTCTCCATCTCCAAGGGCCACGAGCACAAGAAGATAATCTCAAAGAGAAAATCCGAAAGAGCCAATTTGCTGTCCACCTCGTGATTCTCGGCATGAGAAAACACTCTGAGCTCGTCGACGACACGAGCATCGTTTAGACCTGGCAGAGCGAAGTTCGAATGGGAATGCAGGATACCCTGGGGCACAAGTGCCTGAGGGAGAGTTCCCCAGAGGACGGACCACTGCTTCTCTCCTGGATGCTAGGGAACTACGCAATCGAGCCTGAAATCTCAGAGACTTTGAGCTAATTCCGACCTTTCGGAGTTGGTGCAGTCCACCTGGACGTCTTCAGGTACCTCCAGGGTCTCATTATCAAACCCATCATCTCAAATTAGAGGCCAATGATTTACCTGAGTTTGATGAGGTGCGAGCCTGAGGACAACACGTGCTCCAACAGCTCCGATCCAGACAGACTGGAGATTGAGGATCGGGATGACAATGATGATGATGCTGATGAGAATGGATATGACATGGGAGTCTATTCTCGAGTTGAAATCGTGTGTTCGATTTCGGCAGATCGCATGCGACCCATGAGGCGTACTATGGTCGCATACGACTTGTCAAATTCGATCGTACGATTTCAATTCGAGAATAGGCTCCATGACTGTCAAGCCGAAGAGAGCCGAGGATAATTACGATGATTGCAAGAGAGAGAGTAACTTAATCGCAGTCCAGTCAATCGAATGGACACACCTGAGAGCAACTGCTTCGTTGATTGGAAAGCTGTTCAAGTCGGTGCTGAAATCACTCGACTCTGCTCAGTATGGATGATTCAGGTCAATTGTATTCGCATTGTTCTATTCACTCGTTTGTCGTTAGAATTTTAAATTGATAAAAATAAAGCAATTTTCAGCAGATCAACGCTTGTCTTTTTTTGCTTTCACCAAATTATTAGGCTCCTCTATTCGTAACTCTATTATCCTATATTTCTAATGGTATTTATCATTCACCTTTTACGACACACTAGAAAAATAGACTTCAAAGTACTAAAGAATAGTATGCCTCGGTCTATCATTTCCCTTCATTTTTGCAGTTTTGTGAGCATGAGCATTTAGATTACCACCAAGTATTTTAACCAGGCAAGTGCGAAGTTGGGGTCGATGAGGTAAGCAATTTCGTGAAGATTATTTTAGGAATACGAGATACTAGAAAATTAGTTTTGAAGGTGAAAGAAAAGAATTTTATTGATTATTTTTTGTGTCATTTGTTATAAAATAATTGGAACATTTTCACTTGAAATTGCAGGAAAAATTCCCAAAATAATCTGTGAAATATCTCTACTCATCCCAAATCTCCTCAACTTCCCCCAACATTTATAACAATTTGATAAAAAAATTGAATGAATCAGTGAAAAATTCGTCAAGTGTCAATGAATTTTATTAACTTGTAAAAAACATAATACGTGAACAACGATTCAATTTTTTCTTGATCATCTCATTTTCGAATAAGTGATGAGAGTGGCGGGGGCAGTGAATCCAATAAAACTGTCCAACAATTTGTAATTCACTTCTTGAATGATCGTTCAAATAAAACGGATGCGAAGGCGGTAAATAAGGCGTAACATTGTCAGATGATGGTGTGAAATCCTGGGGGGATTGATGAACTTCGAGGGGATGATTTAGGGGTGTGGAGTTTCCTGAGGGCTCTGATGTTGGGTTGAAGGGAGTGAGCGATGCACTCGACAATTCAGGGAGTGAAAGGGGAGGAAGGGGTGGAGGAGGTAAAATGGAGGGTAGAGAACTTGGATGGACAATTGTTGGAGCCTCTGCAGTACCGATATCACTCCCCAGTGTCGAAAGATATTCACTCCCTTGGTTCTCCCATAATTCTGACTTTCCTTCGTGATTATTGAACAGGTTTGCACTCGTGCGCTGAGGAGGTAATTGACGTTGGGAAAACTGCTGCGATCTTGGACTCCCTTTTGCACCTCCAGGAAACGATCCATATAGTCCCTGGTTAACATTTCGTAAAATTTTCAAATGATTCAACAATTTCCAAGAATATCCGTTCCATTTGAAAATTGATTTGCGCAAAAAAAATAGTTTGAATTACATTTTTCAAAAGGATATATCTTTTTTAAAGATTGCCTTTTATAAATATGCATTTTCTATTTTATTTTTTATTATATTTAAAGTCGAGTGATTGATGGATATTTACGTTATACCAGGATGCAGGGCGTATTTCTTCTTTTCTAGGCGAGCTTTGTAAGTGAATGTCGAGTCTTTCTGTTTTCTTGCAGAGTAGTAGAACTGTACGGGCTCTCACCCACTCATCTCATTTGTATCTTGATGAAATAATAAATGACATAAATAAAATTTCAAATTTGCAGAGAAATGTTTTTTAAAAATAGTTATTCTTATAATTTACACTGCTAGGAAATTGAGCTTTATATTTCGAATAGAAACTCTTGAAATTTTCCACAATTACTCATGTCCAAAAAAAACTTGTTCAAAATCTGGGCTTTATTTTGAGCCAACTCATTTCCCCGTCCCTTACGGAAATTCCCGTGAGCGTGTTCCACGGTGGTCAGTATACCATCGACTTTCATCAGGACCGAATAACTGAAACTTGTCCGGGCGCACATCGGCGCATTTATCGGGAAACCCATTGGTAAAGTTATCGAACCTCATCGTAAATTATCCAGTCAGTTATCAAAATATTCCGTGTTTGTACAGTCCACTTCGGTAAATCGACTATTTATTAGAAATCCATCGAGTGTATACTTCAGTGCAACTAAGTTTTTAAATATAGTGACAATCAACGAAACTCATCTTGATTTATTCTCCGGCAATTCATCCCACTTCATTTTCCCTCCCGATCGCCCTATCATCAGAATCACACAAGATTCTTAACACACTTGATCTGAAATTGACTTAAAATTCAGAATATTGAAAATTCCCAAGCATCCATTACTTCAATTGAAGGAAAATTTCTTATTATATCATGCTGGTCCAGAAAAATGTTAGACCATTCTTACAGTCCACCAACTTCCTCCTGACACTTTCTACAAACCCCTTAGGAAACTCTTCATACCTTGTTCTTCTGAATTAAATAAAACTCCTTTCCATGAGTCCTCAACCCAGACTCGAAATTATGACACGTCTCCTGTGACCAAAGACCAATAGCATTAATAGGAAGGAGCACATTCATCCCCCTCCTCCTCAGGGCCTCCTCCAGATTAGACTACAAAAGTAGATAGAGAGCCTGTTCATCGTCCCTTACGTGAGCCCCAGCTGGTAGCGAGTCTTTATCTCTTTTTCTCTAAAAAGGAAAAAATAACTTCAAAGAATGTCAAATAATGTGCACATCCAGCATTTTTGATTTTTTGCTTTTTTTTCCAATGAAAATTTGTAATGAATTGGCAAAATACTACCTATCTAGGGTCAGTTGTCGATAGATATCTGGTAAATGAAAACAGACAAAAAAAAATTCATGAAAATCGTTTTTGTAGAGCAAAATGTGAGCCAAAAAAAGAATCATATAAAAATTTTGCTATTTCTCCTCATTTAGAAGATATTCATTGATAACTGCCCCAACACGAAATTAACTAATCCTAGTTTATAAATACTACAGAAATGGTGAAAAAATCATGAAAATCTCCCACAAAAAATTCAATTTTCCAAATATTGGCAGTGAAAACACCTCTGTAATCCACGATAAAAAAAATATAATTCAAGCGGCCATAAAGCCTTGCCTTGATAGCCTTGATAATAAAAAATGTAGTTCGTCATTCGGCGGCAAACAACTTTTCTGGCGATTATATTGTAATTCTTGGCTTCTTCAAGGCCTCAATGACAAAATCCTACATAAATATTGAAAGAAATACTCACATCCTAGGACAACCGGCCCTTTCCCCCCAATGTGGTGGGCGTTGTGGATGACTGCATTCTGTGATAGCTCATGGAGCCATGGGCATCCTCAAAACTCTTCGTTTGCTTCTGAAGCTCCTGAGAGACGGAGTTCAACGTGGACACCAGACTCTCTCTACGGCATCCTTTTACTGTATTTCGTCGTTTTACTGGCCGGTGTGCTTTCGCTGTGAATTTCTAATACGAATATGAAAAAAAAGCAATAGAACTCAGAATGGATAATGAATCTCCAAATAATTTTTGAATGAAAGTGTTGGGTTTTTTCGTTGGATTGGCTGCACAGAAATGTATCTTCTCATTTACAAAACATCAATTTTGAGCGAGGGTTCTTTCGACTTTTCAATGTATTTATTTCTTCGTGTATAGTTCGATACAATGAACCAACGATATTTCTCACGCCACAACGTGTAATGATCTATGAAAATATTTCTCAGTAATATTTTATTTTATACACTCACCCTATTTATTCCTGATTGAGAACATACAAAAGGGTATGTAGTCCGATATGACTCCACGTAGAATTAATACTCACAATTAATTTAACAAATTGAGGTATCCCAGATGTTCTGCTCCGAAATGGAGTTGGCTTTGCTGTTTGCTCGCAAATTGCTCCAATCCTATGTAAAAGAGAGCGAGAGGGGCGGGGGTTTATAGAGGTGTGGGGTCACGTGATCCATTGTATATGTCCATCTTTTTTTATTAATAATTATGGACTTTATATTAGTTTTCCAAATGAGAAAAACATTCTCACTATTATTTCCAAATTATTTTACATCTATTAAAGTTCAATTTTTAAAATTTTGGTCAATGTATGCCAATTATGCGGTTCGACAGTTTTTCAATAATTATTAAATAATTATTTGTTTCCAAATTATGAAAATGCTTTTCTAAATTTTTCCAAATTATTTCCTAATGACTTCAATTATTATTTTTAAAAAATATGGGATTTGTTCGCCAAGTATACGGTGGTCTACTAAAAACCTGCCAGACAAATCTAGTGACATTTCCATTCCTAATGTTATTAGCTCCGACTATCGATTGTCATTATTTATATCGTACGTTTCCTCTTCAGTCATCGATTCACTTTTTACATTTTACATTTTTACAGTAATGCAGAATGATAAGTTTAAGTTTAAGTGTTACACTATAAATTAAATAACACTAGCTCAGTAGTACTTCAAACCATAAACAAAATAAAAATAAGTAATAAATTTCAAAACGAAGAAAACGCCAGGGCGGAAAAAGAATGCAACATAAAACTCATCAAATAAATGCAGTGCTCGCAGGTTAAAACCCGAGTGTCTTCTCCGTATAAAAACGCAAATGAGAAAAACCCCGTGGATTGCAAAAATCGGATCCGAAAACATCTCAATTTTCATCAACTCCCCGCGGGGACAAGTGCATATAACATTCAAGACCAACCTAAAAAAAATCGCCAACTCGTAAAATTGTGAAAAAAAAAATTAAACCTCCCAAAAATTTTCGTACAAAAATAAAATCGATAAAGAGCAAGGCAAGTGTTAGAAGGGGGGCGGTAGTGGTGGTTGAGCCGGTGGCGTTAATTCATCATCGAATAAAATTTCTTCAATTCCGTAACAACTAAAAAAACTAAAAATTTTATGGGTGATTCTTGGTTGATAAAGTGAAGGAAATGACGGATAGTCAGCAGCAATTCTGCTTGCGTTGGAACAACTTTCAGGCTAATATCACAAGCCAGTTTGAGGCATTACGGGATGATGAGGATTTTGTCGATGTTACATTTGCCTGTGATGGCAGGAGACTCCAGGCCCACAAGGTCGTACTATCTGCCTGTAGTCCGTACTTCAAGGAATTGTTCAAGGTTAGAAAATATGTCTTCAATATTTCGTCATGATTTTACGTTTTTCTGAATTAATATAATTTATCTTCTATTATATTTAGTTTGTTTTTGTACTTTCTGCTAAGCATTTAATCCCACCTCGTAGTCTTCTACGCCACCCCATGGTCAT